CGGGGCGTTCCCTTCGGGAGTCGTCTACGAAGCGCTCAACAATCTGAATCGCGACGGCAAACGACTGCTGATCGTGCTGAACGACAACAAGATGTCGATCTGCCCGCGCGTCGGTGGCGTGGCGGATTACTTCGATCGGTTGCGGATGAATCCGATGTACACGGGCCTCAAGGAAGAGGTCGCGCGTGTGTTGTCGAAGGTGCCGCTCTTAGGCGATCCGACCGAGCGGATGCTCGCGCAGATCAAAGAAGCGGCGAAGGCCGGCCTGCACGGCGGCATGTTTTTTGAAGAGCTCGGTGTCCGCTACATCGGCCCGATCGACGGCCACAACATTAAACTGCTTCGTAAGTACCTGCGGATGGTGAAGGCGGGCGACGGCCCGGTGCTGTTGCACGTCGTCACCGAGAAGGGCCACGGCTTCCGCCCCGCTGCCGAGGACCCGGTGACGTTCCACGCGCCGCCCGTGTTCCAGCGTGACACTTCCGACCGCGACCGCGTCGTCTCGATCAAGAAATCGGACGGCCGCAGCTACACGCACGTCGCCAGCGATGCGATCCACGCCGCGATGGCGAAGAACGACCGCGTCACGGTCCTTACGGCTGCCATGTGCCAGGGGAACAAGCTCGAACGGCTGCGCGATGATTACCCCGATCGCTTTTTCGACACGGGCATCTGCGAGGCGCACACGGTCGCGTTTGCGGCCGGGCAGGCGAAGGTTGGCATGCGCCCAGTCGTGGACATCTATAGCACGTTCTTGCAGCGGTCGTTCGATCACATCTTCCAAGAGGTGGCGCTCCAGAACCTACCGGTGACGTTCACGCTCGACCGCGGCGGCCTCTCTGGCCCCGACGGGGCGACACACCACGGCGTGTTCGACATGGCTTACCTGCGCGTGTTCCCGAATATGGTCGTCATGGCGCCCGGCGACGCCGGCGATCTGTCGCCGATGCTCGACTTTGCCATCAAGCACGATAGTCCCTGCGCGATCCGTTACCCAAAGGCGGCGGCGATTGAGATTGCCGGTGACCGCGCGCCGGTCGAACTCGGCAAGGCCGAAGTGTTGCGGGAAGGCCCCGACGGCGCGATCGTCTGCGGCGGCGCTCTGCTCGTCGATTGCCTCGCCGCGGCGGACAAGCTGCAGAGCGAGCAGGGGATCGACCTTACGGTCGTCAACGCCCGTTTCATCAAGCCGCTCGATACGAAGACCATTCTGCCAATCATCGATCGCAGCCCCTTCGTTGTAACGGTCGAAGAAGCGCAGCTCGCTGGCGGCTTCGGCAGCGCGGTGCTCGAAGCCTGCTCCGACGCCGGCGTCTCGACGGCCCACCTCAGGCGCCTTGGGATCCCCGACGTGTACGTCGAGCACGGCGACCGCGAAGAGCTGCTGGCCGACCTGGGTCTCGACTCGGCGGGAATCTTGAAGACGTGCCAAGAACTTGCCGGCAACCGCGCGGCGAATCTGGCGGGATGAAGGGTTAACCACGGAGGCACGGAGAGCACGGAGGAAAAGCTCAGAGACGATTTCTTAGACAAGATTTACAGGATCGACGGGATTGATCCATATCTTGTCGATCCTGTAAATCTTGTCTCGCTTTCTCAGTGCTTCACTCAGTGCCCTCCGTGCCTCCGTGGTGCTTGTTCGGAGGCTGAGGCCCCGTTCCACGGTT